CCCCAAAACCCCAAAACCCCAAAACCCCAAAACCCCAAAACCCCAAAACCCCAAATCTGAATAATATAATTGAAAATGAGTAAAGATTTTATTCCCGAAGATGAAACCCAATCAGCTCTTGAAAGCGAAGATTACGGTAAAACTAGTCTTATGATCGAAAGGAACCTCTGGGTACCAGACAAAAATGTAAACCAATGCTTCGAGTGCTATAAGGAGTTTGGAGTCTTCTTTCGTAAACATCACTGACGGATCTGAGGACATATATTTTGTCATCAGTGATCCATAACGAGGAAGCTCAAGAGAGCCAATGGTAAATCCCAGAAGTTTCGCTTCTGATTTAAATGCATTGAAATCAACACAAAGTTTCAGGAGCAATTGAAGTCCAATAGCAACTTTTTGCAAAGAATTAAGAGGGTTGGAGGTATGGTTGACGAAGAGTCTAAAGCTTCGACTGATATCCCAACCGAGAAACTTTCAAAAATTGCTTCTGACGCTAATCTCACCGACAAACTCAAAATTGGCAATGAGTCTATGGCCAATGAGATTTTGGAGTTCCAGGATGACGAGGAGACTTATCAGAAGCTCAGGACTTATTCTTTGGTTCAAACTTTTAAGAATATGATGGAAGAGTCTCACAAGGCTACTGGAGGATATAGTTGCCAAGACCAGAATATCCCTGATGGCATTCTTGGATGCAAAGAAGAGATTTTGAATGAGTTAATCGATCGGTACCTCACAGAGTACCAGATTGACAAAAATGTGTGGGCAAAAGTGATGAGAGACTTCATTTACAAAGCAAGCGAGCATGTCAGACCTAATAGGTTTATCTTAGATTTTGAGATAGATATATAAAAATTATTGGAAATGAGTGGGGCAAGCCCCAAGACTCCTGATATGTCAATGGCGTGGTTATTAAGAAGAATGTTATTGATAAGAGGTCTAATGATATCCATAATAACCCCAGAATTCTTCTTCTGTCTAATTCTTTAGGATACGTCCGAGAAAAGGTTGATTTCACTGACTTCCAGAGTATTGTCAAGCAAGAAAATCATTTTGTTGAGATTATCAAAGAGAAAATAGGCAGGGTCGCTCCTGATATTGTTGTTGTAGAGGGAGACATTAACAAGAAAGTAGCTGATACTTTGAGGAATGAGAACATCACTATTATCACAAATATTGACCAGAATACAATGAAGAGACTGGAAAGAACTACTCAAACTGTTATTTATCCCAGTACTCATTTGTTAGAGACAAGTACTAGCCTCGGAATGTGAGATCGGTTCTATGTGAAAAGGATTAGTGGAAAGTCAAGTTTGAAAGATAAATCAGCTTATGTTCCTCTAGATCGAAGTTTAATCTTCTTTGAAGGCACACCAGCTCATCTGGGATGTACTATACTTCTGTTCGGGGATTCTTTGTATAATCTTGAGAACAAGATTAAGAAATGCTTGGAGAAGTTGATCCATAAAGCAAGAGATGTCATCCTTGAGGCATTGTTCCTGACTAAGATAAATTGTAATTTTAATGGAATCAATGATCGGAAGATGTTCTTATCAAATTCCAACATCTGTGTGGAGATGCCAAAGTTCATCTGTCGAATGCACCAAATGAGAGCAGGGAAAGATATTGAAAATCTTAAGGAGATGGTCAGAAGTCAAGATAAGGATCCTGAAGAGAAGTTCATTAAAAGAAATTTGAATGAAATGTGCCTGCTGCCTAAATAAGAAAGCATTCCTCGCATATGATAAGGAGAAAGATAAGACTCTTGCAGAGGTTTTATTAGAGGTGTTAGAAAATTATGGGTTCATGTGAGATAATTGTGGGCAAGATAACTCTCTCCATCGTCAATATTTTTACCATAAGGATGGGTATATTGAATGCAAGATATCTGAGAAACCATCATTTACTCATGAAGAAGACGATGTTTACATATCGTCATATTGTAAGAAATGTTTTCTTTATATCCAAGATAAGGAGGAAGCAAATCCAGGAATGCTGGAATATTCATTTGGGCTGTTTCTTAAGCATTATTTTTATAACAGGGGATTAACTAATAAGCCAACAGCAAGCATAAATTGTAACCATAAGAATTACTGTGATATTCAGCGGATGTTCGAGTTTGGAAATCTCAGAATCACTTTTGAATATTTTCCTGTCAAAAAGTACTCAATAGATCTTTATGAGTTCAGAAAGATTAGTAGCTCTGGAGGAACTTATCCTCTTGATAAGTGAATGGAAAACTTGATTGTTAATTTCCTCGAGGTATACTCAGGACTTGATTCTCTACTCTCTGTTATTTCTCTTTCCGATCAATATGAGCAAAAATCCTTTATTTCAAAGGCAAAAGTGTTATTAAAGAAAATTTTGAAGAATTTCAAGCTAGTCATTTTTAACACTTTGAAGAATGAAAATATTAAGAACATGGTGCAAATTCATAAAATTTATCGGTTCACATTTCTGAACATTGTCTCCTTTGCCTTCTTGGTCAAGGAGCTATACATGGTCGCTTATTCCTCTATCGAGAAGCCTCTTTCAGAAGAAGAAAAGATTGCCAAGAATAAGAAGAGCAAAACTTCAATTTTAAGCGATAAATCTCAGAAGCAGATCAAGTTTGACAAAGCCTTGATTATGTTTAACCTAATTTTTAACAATAATAAGGAAGCCAAGGGTCCAGATACCAGGGAACAGAAGGATGACAAATACCCTACAGCCTTGTATGAAGACCTTTCATCCCATTGCCATGTCAAGGATCCACAGTATAAGAGCATGCAGCACCAGATGATGGACAGCTTTAAGGAGCTAGACCAAGGCTGTATATTCACTCCTTTCGGGGTGAATGACACTTCCATCAGAGTATCTCCTGACAACGTCGGATCTCTGATTGGTTTCTGTCTTTCCTCGAACATATACTTTGATGGATTGGTCTTTTTCAACTATCTGAATCTGAAGAATAATTTCTTGGTGCAAAGAGACACCATGAATATTAAGCGTATCGATAACGAGCAAGTCATTCACTTGACAAGTGAAGAGAAAACAGATGTGTTCAATGGGCAAGTCCCTGCTCTTCACATTGAGAAGGAGCTTCAGAAGGGCAACAAAGAGAATTTCATCTTCACATTTTCAAACTATAAGCATAATAATGTGAAGATGTTCATTGAAGTCGATGGAAAGAAGGAAGAATTTGTTAATTCTCAAAACACAAAATACTATTATAATGGCAAAACTGGAGATGATGAGACGCCTATTGATCCTAAAATTAATGACATGAAGAACAGCCCCTTTGATTTTCTGAGATTTGACGACAGGACATCTGATTCTTTGCTTGAGTTCTTAAATATTATTGGCAATGAATCTCATCGAGGAACCAAGACTGTCCTGAAGTTCTTGAAGAAAGAGCGTGATCAGTGATTCGAGACAACTGCAGATAATATTGATTATGAGGTTAAAGCTTACTTTCCCATAAAATTTGAAGCTTTGAGGAGATACTATTGCGGAAAGTATTCTTACTTTATTAACTCAATTTGTTCCACCATGGACTGGGACAGCAGTGGAGGTAAAAGTGGAGCCTCTTTCTTAAAGAGTAGTTGCCAGAAATATGTCCTCAAAGAAGTTAAGAAACAAGAGATGAAGATGTTTACAGAGATTGAGAATCTTTACTTTGACTACCTTTGAAAATCATTCTTCAATTACTATCCAACAGCCCTAGCCAAGATATTAGGAGCTTATAAGATCAGGATTAAGAACAGAACCAAGAATGAGACTAAAACTGTTTACTTTTTCCTACAAGAGAACCTCTTTGTGAGTCCTAAGCCTGGCAGACAACTTGTGTACGATTTGAAAGGATCAAAGAGAAACCGTTGGGCTAGTCTTCAAAAGAAAGTACTTTTAGATACAAACTTTTTATTTGACTTCAACTCAATGCCGTTGACACTGGATTATCCAATGAAGAACATTATGAACAAGTGCTTTATCAACGATTCGAATTTCTTATCAAAGTGTAGTATAGTGGATTACTCAGTGTTGTTGATTATCAATCTTGATGACCACAGCTTCCGAGTAGGAGTCATCGACTACATTCAACAATATACTTTGTACAAGTTATTAGAGACTACATTCAAGAAGGCAGTGGGCAGGGATGATCCAACCATCATTGGACCTCTAGAGTACAAGAAAAGGTTCTTAAAAGCACTAAACAAGTACTTTATCGGCCTTTATGAGGAAAAATAGCAAGCCTACAATGGTTGAAAATGGGGATATTATGGAACAGTCAGAAGATAAAGAGACGGAACAAGATCTTTTGAAGGAAGAGACACCGCATAGGAAGGAAAGTTATGGGGAGATTGAACAGAAGTTGGAAGATTTAGAGGTGCCAATGATGGTCAGAGTCAAGTCAGCATTTTAGTTTGTGTTTTCAGTAATTTTACATATGATTGGGGTTTTGGGGTTTTGGGGTTTTGGGGTTTTGGGG